GCTTGTTCTACGTGGACGAGAGTGGATTTAATGCGAATCAGCATCGAACGCGAGGTCGATCTCGCAAGGGCGCGCGCGCAATCGTTCAAGTTGGCAGTATTCGTGCAGCGAATTTCACGCTCATTGCAGCGATCGGAATGAGTGGCGTTGTGTTGAATGAGATCCAGCTCGGAGGCGTGACTGGCCATGTCTTTGCGGAGGCGATGACGAAGCTGTTTGACACGCTCGAGGCAAAAAAAGCCGTCGACACCGCCGCGTCTGGCATCGCTGTGGATGAGCTCCCAGTGCAACAGCTTGAGCCCGACCTCCCCCTTACAAACATGGTTGAGGACAGTGTGCCGATCAGTAATGCAGTTCACATGCCACTGCTGACGTCCGGTGCAGCGTCCTCGTCCCAACCACCTGCCCCTCCCGCTGCAGTTGTGTCGTCTGCTGCGTCTGCAGCTGGCGGGTCAGCTCCTGCTTCCACCTCTGCTTCCACCTCTGCTTCCACCTCTGCTTCGACGACCAGAAAGAAGCGCCGTTCTCGTCGCAGGATTCTCGACGATGATGACAACGATGATGGCGGCGTCTACGTTCCACCACACGAAGAACTCATTCAAGACGAGATTGATGAGCACAATGACAATACTTCCTATTTCGTACCGAGCGAAGAGCACCCAGGTGTCAGCTTTCCGGGACATCATCGCTACAAAGCCTGGATCGTGCTCGACAACGCGCGCATTCACAAGACACCCGAAGTGCGCGAGCTTTTTGCACGCCGCGGGTATGGGATGCTCTTTCTGCCTCCGTACTCATCGTTCTTGAACCCGATCGAGTATGTCTTCAACCAAGTGAAGGCTGCGTTCAAGCGCTCCCGGCTGGAACCGAACGAAACAATCTCAAGTCGTATTACCGCTGCTGTTGGTACCGTGACGGCAACGCATTGCCAAAACACTATCACGCATGTTCAGCTCAAGTACTTTAATGCTTGTCACGAGATGCACGATGTGCTAGATTAGTTGGCGTGCTCTCCTTCGAAAGCTCCCTCAATGGCACCCGCTCGCCTGTTTTGGGTGGTCGTTTGATGTGATCGTCCGTGTCATGTTACATGTATAAATACTGTATTGTTGTACATCCATTTCAAATCATGTTTATTCTGCAACAAGCATCTGCCAAAGACTAGTCGATGGCTTTCAGGAGAACACCCCACAGTCCGGTCGGCCTTGCGTCCTTTCTTCACTCTACCCGTAAACCTTCATAAAACAAACATAGTTAAGCCTATTTATACATGCATGTACATGTATTGAGCGTATGCAAGCTGGAGCGCTCCACTGTGGAGTGCACATTGCGCTGTCACTGGTGCTGCAACTGGCTGGTCGTTAGGAATGATCGGAACAATCCACTCGGCATATACGATTGCCACCAATTTAATGACACTATGATAAACTATGCGAATGCTAATGCTTACACCGAAATGGCTCGTGAGTACGAGCCCTGGGTGGTAAAGACGTCGCTGTGGAAGTAATTCATAAAAACTGTAGTTCGAGCTCTTCCCGAGCCCTAGCTTTCCCGCTACTCACCCCAGCATCTAATGACCTTCCAAGATACATGATTCAATTCAAATACTTCCTGAAGTTGTTGGTAATTCTAACATCTCAAGTGGGTTAATTCGAAATACAAGCTTGCAAAAACCAACTCGTTGAAAACCAAATCGAACGCACAAAAACCAATTACGGAAAAAACCATTTTTCTCGCACTTTCAACCAAGCTACTTTTTTCCAGTCCGATTTTCCTCACTTCGTCCGCTCTAATTTCCAACCTCGCCTGCTGTGATTTCGACCTCGACTGCATAATACTGTACCATTGCGACTGGACAGAATAGAAGCCAGCCAAGCCCAAGCTGTCGCCAAAACCGGCTGGGTATCGTTGCCCTCATCGTCGTCCTCATCGTTGCTTTGCTGTTGAGAGCAAAAAATACAAGGTTAGAATAATGTTTGCCATCGTCACAGACTATCAAAGCATGGCACCAATGCTGTGAAAAATTTCAAGCACAGAAGGTCGGTAAAAGAAAAAACAACAAACAAACAAAATGGCGCGCAACTGCCGAGACACCAGTAAGAGCAAAGTTTGCTCACCCTCACGACTCTCACCACTCTCGCCACTCTCCGGCACCACAGAACCAGTTCGTTCAAAGAATTCGTGTCGAAGACGAGAAGGGTACACTCAAACAGGTCTCGGCCCACTTACCGTTCTGCCACGCTGATCGACGTGACCTCCAGGAGAGTCCACTGCTTGACGCTTTGAAGAAGCCGAAGAACTCATCGCAAAAACTGAAAAAACAAAGCAGACTGATTCAACCGACAGGTCAAAGTCAAAGTGATTTTTGTTTGTCGGCATCGTGTCGTTTATGGTGAGTTTGGTTCTTTTGATCGAGCTTCGTCGTGACGCTGTGATGGCTTCGTTTTGTTTTTGTTTTCTTCTTTCGGTTTTTTCGTTGTGATTTTTGTTTTGGCTTCAAATGCAAGCTCCCATCAACTTTACCCCAATGTCACGTCACTCACTTGACTCGCTCTCGATCATAGTGTCGCTCTGATTCACAGTTTGACTTGTCGCACACAGCGGCTCAAGTGTTTGCCACGTCCAGTCGGAAATGGCTCTGGCATGATTGCCGCCATCGACCTCGCATCGCAACCCGCTCGTGCCTGCCGACCAGAACAGCCTCGACCGACGTGCTGTCGAGTTTGACTTTGCTTCTGACGCATTCTTTGCCATCAAGCAGCGCAACACGGACGCACTCGCCTCCAAGCTCAAGGCGGTCTCCGACCCCGCCACCGAGGACTGTGGTACAGTACCGTCCAGCATGCGCATTCTAGACCACGGGCATGGTCAAAACTGACCGTTTGTTCGCCACGCTCGACTCCTTGTTGCTCTTTGACTCTTCATACACGACGCCTGAAGATTTGCCAAGTTTGTCGACGGCGAGCCAGATGCTGTCAACAACGTTGTCACCTCGCTCATCCTCCGAAACGTCGCCTACCGCATGCCGGCTGCCAACGACTATGTCATTGTGGACACGATGCCTCTCGAAGTCGCGTCAGAGCTCTTCATGTGCAATGTAAGGTCGGACGAGGCTCTCTCTCTCGCCAAGCACTTTGCTGAGTGCCTGCTTGCAACTTTCTGACTCGACAACTCCTTGAGCAGAAACCTACAGAGGCTGGGAATCCTCCATTCGTGGTCTGTCGCAGTCATTCGAATTGAGTCGAAACAGCTCGCAACCTCCCTCCATACTGATGAGCATGAGCAACCCTCCTACGAAAGCAGGTGGGGAAAGGCTTTTGAAATCCGGTTCAATGAACGTCTTTCCACAACTGTTAGCTCTCGCGTACACCTAGTACCCGCAAATTGTGTGGAAAGCCGTTGACCGTTTCTGAATTGTCGCTCCTTACGACAGTGTGCTGTCCCACCGCCTGCCAGCTGTCTACTTGTTTGGGAACCGTGTTGGCTAGCAAACATGTCTTTCGTGGTGTAAGCCTGATCCTTCCACCGTCAGCTCGGCTGATCATCTGTTCGAGCACCCTCCCCGCATGCCTTCGTTGGTGTGGTCATAACGCACATTCAATTGTCTCATAGCCCATGATCTTTTTTCTTTGTTATTCTTAATAAAGGTTGAGACGGCTTCAAAAAACAAAACTTCCATTCGCTCTGAGGCAACAATCTCGCAACCGAGCCCGACTCGACCCTCCAAAAGACGATTCTCGTCCTCTGCGACGACCAAAATGTTGTTAGCATCCCAGACACCAAAATCTGGGCTGCAAATGTTTGACCAGAGCTTCGTACGCTCGGCGGACGTTTGTTGTTATGACGGTGTGAGCTCTGTTCAATTCAAATACACATCGGTTTGAAACAAAAAACAAATTCAACATGCAACAAATCACAAATTCGCGACACACCAAATGACGTGTCAGATACAGAAAGACAGCAGCTGCCAACGGCACCAATCAACGACCAATGGAAGAAGCATCATTTTGACTGGACGACTGATCAGTTTGGCTCGACAAATCGTATCGTGGATGGATAAATCCGTATCCTAGATGGACAAATCGTCAGCCTGGCGGGACGCATCGGCTTTGCTCGGCACGACCCAGTCACCAGTGTCGGGAAAGCGCGACCACATGAAAGGCACAACTCGGCGCACATCCTCGTCCATGAGAACAATCACACGAGGGTCGGGTTCCTTGTTAAACGTTGCCAGTGCTTTGGCCCATTTTCGATCTGCCGCAAGACGAGTGGCTTCGTTCGGGCGTGTACTGGCGGTACCAGTCACCATCACAACCATCAGCACGTCGCAGACGGTCTCGCCGGTCTGCGGGTCTGTAACACCTGCGGTCACCTTCTCTAGAGTCGTTTTGATCCTGCTCTGGAGAGTGCTGAAAGTTTCGTTTTGACTCACGACTTGACGATGCTTGAATTGGAAGAGAAGCAACACGGGTTTCGTCTTTGCGTACAATTTGCGCTGAGCGGGAAGAACGACCCACATGTCGACTCCGTAAGTGTTTTTCGCTATCTGAACTACCGGAATGCCGTTTGCTGGGGCGTCAACACAGGAGGCCATGCAACCTAAATCCTCTTGCTCGCGGGACCAGGGGCTTCTTCCTTGAACCCGACGAGTGAAGAAGTTGAAGGTCGAGCGACGGTTGGACAGGATCTGCGTGTCCTCGATGATCGGCACGTAAGAAGCAGACGGGGAGAAGGCGTGGAAAATTGCGTTCGGGTGAATAAAGCCGCGAAAATCAGGAGTTGGTTGCGAATTCAAGAAATTGATGCGTAGAAGGCTGGCAACATCGGGAGACGAACCACTTTTACCGAGCAAGCGGAGCTGTGCCGTCAACGACAAGTGCGCCGCGGTTTCGAAAATATCCCTGTCTCCAGCATCGTTGAAAGGGAGCCGGAACAAAGACAATGCAGACGCGCGGGTCGTTGCAAAGTTCCGGTTGAGCAGGGCGTGCATGTAATGAATAGGACAGCCGACCACGACCATACCATGGGCCGTTGGAGCGAGAGACAGCATGCCGTGGTAGGCGAGCTGTTCAACCGTGAACTGACCAACTAGTGTCGATGGCACAACAGGCCGCTGAGTCAGCACGAGATCGGCAAGCGCTAAGGCGTCTTGCTCGTCACCGACTAAATCGAGCGGGACGGTCGCGAGTCGCTTTGCGAAGTGATCCAAAACCGTGACAATGGTGTGATCGTTTGGCGCAAGTGCGAGCTCAGGATGAGACGAAAGACTTGAAAGAAGCTTTGGAGAACCGCCAACATCGTGAACAAACTGAAGAAACTCTCGTGTGTTCCGCCACTGCGCGTGAGGCTGAATCGGAGGTTCCTCGGATTCCCACGTTTTCTCGAGCGACCCAGGGCAGAAGGAAAAGAGAGCGGCTCTAGATGCACCAGTTTCATCTGATGGACGTTAAGCGGAAGCTGGGTCAAACCAGCGGTTGAACATCCAGTCCAAAGTACCACCACAGTGTTCTTCTTCGAGTCAAAGTTGCAGTTAAGAATCTCGCTCAAAACACTGGCCAGCGTGCCGGTGGCGGCCTCCGCATTTGTTTGCTCAGCAAGGAAGCGGTGGGCAAGCTGATACTCGTCGATGTGGATGATCAGAAGGGCGTGTTCATCGTCAGGAATCTGCTGGCGCTCGCGCAAGCGTCGCCAGAGCTCGTGGATGACTTCTGAGACTAAGAGGTAGGTCAGTCGACTCAGCTGATCACGACATTTGTGGATAGGGAGGTCCAGCAGGCCGCGAGCAGCAAGACGTTTGGCAAGCCAGATGTGCTTGCGAAAGTTATCTTCAGGTTCGAGACCGTCGCCTCGACCGTTGAAATCAATGAAGACGGTCTGCGTACGATGGGTGAGCAGATTCGTCAACAATGACCTGCGCTCCTCTGAAAAGCCGAGATCTGCTGCTGGATGCTCGAGAGCCTTGAGGAGGTGCGTGATAATGTTCGCGCCGTAGGTTGTTTTGCCCATGCCGCGCATGGTGGCGACTTGCAAACCGCTGAATGTGGAGCGATAGGAGCGGTTGGGGCCGAAAATTGATTCGTGAATTTCAGTCAGAATCTCCTTGGTCGTATTGTGGCGTGCGTAGACAGGGTCGACAGGCACAGGCCAATCTTCCCGGGCTCGTTGTTGGCCCGGGGCAGGCTTCAGCTCGCGAACATTGGTGGGGAACGTGTGGACTATCGACAGCAAGACGAGAAATGAGTGAAGAGAGGACACACACACACACACACACACACACACACACACACACACACACACACACACACACACACACACACACACACACTCACACTCACTCACTTACTCACTCACTCACACACACACTCACTCACACTCACTCACCTAGCTGTCCCTCCCACTCTTGAATCCATCCAATCATGGAGTTGGCCATCTGCGGGTCATCGACCACCAAGGATTTGTCGGTCACCTCGTTCCTCAGCTCAAGGCATCGCTTCTTGATATCTAATTGAGGAACATCCGCGAAAACATCGAGCAAACGGTTCACCGAGTTGATTTTGACCTCGTTGAAATCGTCGTACTCAGACAGTTCCTTGAGGAGATAAAGGCGAAGGCCAGTACTCTTCCAGGTAAACTCTGTTGTCACGCCGGTTCAAAGTCAGTCGACAACACAACCTTAACTCCAAAGCAGTGGACGAATCGTACCGAAAGGCTCGCGGAGGGGTTCGGGCAGGCGATCAATCAACGCACGGTCATGCTCCGCTGAAGCGACAGTCGCCTAGAACGATGACCCAGTGTGAGCATGAGAACATGCAACTCAAGGCCATGACAAGGACGCGTACAGAAGGGGCTTTGGCTTCGATCTCGGACGGAGGGCCAGAAGCAGAGGTCGAGTGGGACCTGCGGGGCCACATGAGCAGGTTGGGGCGTTCATAGTTCCTCTCGATACGGGAGCGGACGCCGCCAAAGGTGGGGAACGGGAGGGCGTCAAAGGAGGGACCGAGGACGGCGCCAGAGGGGGAGAGGAAGGCGTCAAAGGCCGATTCGGCTGAAGTGGGTGGCGCAACTACAAGCACAATAGGCAGTGAGTGGATTGGGCAGTATTCTTCAAAGCAAGTAGCACTTGCAGTCGAGACGTCGAGAAGGATTGCGATCGCCAAGAGAATAAAGATTGCTGAATTTGGTTAAAAACAACGGAGCCGAGACAAGTCTTCAAGCCGAAAGAGGCGACGCACACCAGTCACCAGCTGCTAGTACGCAGGTTATGGAGTTGGCATTGTAGGCAAGGGGCGGAGCGCGAGTCTAGGGGCTTTGCTGCCCGGTAATGAGGCCAAACTCAGCACGGAAGCGAGAAACAGCACTTGGCCGATGGCACGCCACGCAACGACCATAACAATACACCGCGCGTTGGTTCTCACTGACCAACAGCGCAGGGAAGCGGGAAGGGACGCCGGTGGACGGAAACAAGATCAAGAACCTTACCATGCAGACGTTTCGGCGCAAGAGTCGTGGTAGTGGTAGTACATGAAGCAGCACCACGGAACGCTGCGTTGATAAGCGAAAGACGAGCACTCAGCATCGAGTTCAAGACAAGCGTACGGTATGAAGGAAACGGCAACTGAACCTGTTCAACTAAGTATTTTTGGAAATCCTGTCATTGGCGTTTGTTTCTCTTATTGCAACATGTCTTTCGTGCTGTATATGTGGGGAATGCCTGCTCTCTCCATTGTCAGCCCGGCTGATCATCTGTTCGAGCTCTCTACCCAGCACGCATGCCTTCATTGTGTGCGTTATACTATCCCGATCATTAAATTTCGACCCCCCCTCTTTTTTTCACTTTTTCGCCCTCCCTGGGACCTGTGTTGCTTTCCGTCTCGCCCGCGGAATGTTCATTCATGGTACGGTGTACCAGACACATTTTAGAAGTGAAGCAGCGGGCTGGGAGTTAAGATTCGAAGCGAGAACAGACAAAAATGAAACTCAAAAAAACAGAAAAAGAGCGGATTTTTTGCCCAATTTTCACAAAGCATTACATGGCACACAAACAACGTGTCGCAGCGCCTTCGCTCCACTTCAGTACTTGGTATAACCACCATTGGCATCTATCACAGCTTGAATGCGGCGCGGCATCGATGAAATGAGATCGCGGCAGACCTCTGGCGTGAGCACTTCTTCGTAGACCGCTTGGAAGCGTTCCCACAACGCGGCCTTGCTCTTGATCTCCCTCTCCTGGTAGATCTTGTTCTTGACCATGTTCCACGCATTTTCGATGGGGTTGAGGTCGGGAGAGTTCGCAGGCCAGTCCAGGACGGTGATCTGATTGGTTTCGAACCACTTCGCCACATCTTTTCTTTTGTGACAAGGGGCATTGTCATGCATGAAAATCATCTCGTTTTTGTTGTTCCACACGCGAATGCTTGCTAGCAACTCGCTCTCCAAAACTGAGAGGTAGGTGTCGCCGTTCATGACGTCGCCGACCTCGCAGAAAAGCGAAATTCCGAAACGAGAGATGGCGCCCCAAACATTGATATGGCCACCGCCGAACTTGACCGTGCCCTGCACGCATCGATCGGTCAACGTTTCGCCAACCAGACGCCATACACGACCACCGTTGTTGTTCCTGTAGAGATAGAGAGCAGTCTCGTCGGAGAAGACGACCCTCAGCCAGTCATCGACGGTCCAATGCTGATGAGCGAGTGCAAAGGCCAAGCGTCGCTCTTTGCGTGTCTCTTTCAAGAGGGCTTTTTTGACCTTCGCTCCGTTGACAAGTCCTGCACCATGCAGCACCCTTCTTATCGTGCATGGAGAGACACGAACTTTGGACAATGTGCGCATAGTGGCGGCCACTTCGGGTGCGGTGTCGGACTCATCGAGGAGGATCTGTGCTACAATGTTGTTGCGGTGAAATGACTTGAGCTTGCTGGGGCGACCGGGGCGGGGGCTGTCGCTCGTCGTCGCCCTTCCCGAGAAACGTTGGGTGATGCTGATCACTGTAGAACGTGGGAGGTGAAGCTGG